ATTTCCTTAACCACTAGGCTATAGGATTGGCTGGCCCTGGGCTGAACTTTTTAAAGAATCCTCTTCTTGGGCCAGCAGGTGGCATGGTGGTTGGAGTGTTGGATTCCGATGTGTCCTTCCTTGGTTTGAAACCTGGACCTGGTTGCTTGACGATCACAGATAGATAGATAGATAGATCACAAATAAATAGATAAACAAGTAAATAAATGTTTGAGAAAAGAAAAAAGAGAGACAATTCCCTTTCTTCTGTTTTCTTTTCAAAATGTGATTATGCCTTTTTTTTTCCCAAATAAAAAGAGTCGTAACTAGTCATTGCATAAAATCTGGAAAATACAGAAAAATATCAAGAAGGAAATAAAAATCACCAGTAAACCAACAACTGGGCCATAATTCAACATTCTGATATATTTATCCCCATTTTTTTCCTGTGTGTACACTTTTTTCCCTTTAAAAATGATTAAGATGGTGTTTCACATGGTTTTTATGCCTCACGTAGCATTATATTTTAAACATTTTTCCAAGTCACTAAATGGTTTCTGATAGCATGCTTTTTAATGGCTCTGTTTCCATTATCCAGATAAATCTTAATTATCTATTCTCTCCCATACGGACATTTTGATTCCCTCTAGGGTTCTCCGATTGTAAATACTCTGCAAGGTTTTTAAACATTCTTGTATATGAATCTTTGTGGGCATCTTAGGGAAAATTCCTAGAAATTAAATCTCTGGGTAAATAACCCTTTTTTTTTTTTTTTAAAGAATGATTTTGCTATAGGGCACATGTGCATGCCAGAAAGACAAAGAGAGGCAGAGAGAAAGAAAGTGAGAAATCACCCCCCAGGGGTATGGCCACACCGCAATCCCTTCTCCTTTCAGGATCTTGAGCATGTACACACAGGTGCCCAGCATGAGTTTAAGCTACCTGGTCTGGGACTTGAACTACAGTCGGCTATGTGGGAGTCCAGCGATATAACCATTATGCCATCTGCTGGCCCCTCACATGACCTATTTTTAAAGTTCCAAATGCAAGTTAGTGAGTTGGCCTCTAGAAAGTCTATTTCAAAATGTTGGTTCCCTTCAGCTTCTTAGACTAAACTGTGTGCTCCTAGGGCCCGGAGGTATCAGAAGCTCTGAGGAAGTGGGCCAGGAATATGCACTGTAATCCACTCTCCCAATTTTTATGCACATTGAAGCCTGAGAACTATTGACATGCTGCATTCTGTTTAATAAATATTTAATCTGGCAAACAATTATTAGACAGTCGCGAGTTGGGGGACCCTGAGCTAGTATGTCTCGGTCAGAATTCAACTGGATGCCTCTTTCTGGCTTCTGAATTTTAGATTTTCCCCACCCTGTAGTATGCAGTGGTAAAAAGATTGCTAGCTAAAGAGGCACGAAACCTTCCCATAAACATGAGATCACCGGTCCCAGAATGACTCTTTACTTCTGGTGGGCCCAGAGGTTTAGTGGCAGAGGTCGAATAGACAGTGCCCAGAGACACGTATCCTCTGGGTAGCAGACAAAAGTCATCGACAAAGAGATGGGGCTGTCCCCGTAGTGTAGCAGTTAAGGGCTGTACATCAGGAGCCAGATCCCATCATGGCCACCACAGTTCAAGTCCTGGCCCCAGCAGCTTGAAAAACATGCATGTGTGTACCCAAAATCCTGGCAAGATGGAGAAACGAACGGAAAAAGATGGAGACGTGACTATGCCCCTTGGAGGGGTTCTCTCTCTCTCTCTGTAAAACACCCACACCCCGTGGCAATTAAAGAAAAAAAAAATTAACTCCTAAAGTGACTCCCCCTGCCTACTCAGGGAACACTTACTTGCCTTCTGATAGGCAGGGACATGGTTTTGTTGTTGTTGTTGTTGTTTTGGAGAGATTTTATTTGCTATAGGACGCGTGCGCTCGCCAGAAAGACAGAGAGAGATAGAGAGACAGAAAGCAACAAATCACCCCCTGGGGGGATGGCTATGCCGCAATCCCTTCTCCTCCATTCTCCTCTCGGGATCTTGGGTACGCATGCGCATGCGCCCGGTGTGAGGTTAAGCCACCAGGTCGGGGACTCAAACCACGGTCGACTACATGGGAGCTCAATGACATAGCCATTATGCTAACTGCTGGTCCCAGCAGGGACATGTTTTAGGACACGTGTGGGCAGCTCAGACCCAGCAGGGACCTGGGTGCCCTACTTGGTCACCTAATGAGGCCAGACCATGTGTGTCCTGAACCCTGAAGTGGAAGCACTGAAAGCAGACCCAGGAGGACAGGGTCTACGCAGACAGTGTGCAGAAAATCCAGGCCACATGAGAAGGACAGGGGGTGGAGACGACAGTCAGAAAGCAAGACAGCAGGGCCCCGGCGAGCAAGGGCCAGGCTAAACTAAAGTGGGTCGATGTTAGGTCAAGGCAGGCCTGGGTTGGTAGGAGGACAGAGGAGCTGCAGGGGATCCCACCTCCAGGAGGAGCCCCACTGTGCCACTCCAGGGTGAGGGGAGGAGCCTGCCCTCTCACTGCTCTGCTTCCCACAGCGGGTAAGTGGGAGCAGTGGCCAAGACGGGAGAGACCTGAAAATGGGTATTTAGAAAACAGCATCAACAACAAAAAAAACACAACTGTCTCAGAGGACATAATAAACAAACAGCAAAAGTTATAAAATTCTCACCGCCTTCGAGGAGGAAGTGTGACTATCCATCCTGCCTGCAGAACCTGCTGAAGCCTCTCAGACCACAGCCCCGGGCCCTGGACACCCTCCAGTGGCCTGGGCTTCCTCTCATCCCGCTCCCTCAGCTCCCGAGGGCCAGCGTCATGTCACCCAGCTCTCCTGGTCTGCCTGCACAGACTGCTTAGTGTTCTGTTGGCCCCAGCCCACGTTCTAGAAATTGCCGTGTGTCACCTAAGTCAGTTCTGTCATGTCACGCAGTGAAGCACAGGAGCCTGAAGCCAAGGCACACGTTGGCTGTACCCATCCTGCGGGCCTAGACACTGGGGACCTGCCTGTGATCCCCTAGCATCCCTGCTGTGTGCTCTCCTCCACTGGCCCGGTTGTTGCCGTTCAGGGTCACTGTCTCCTCATTCTTCTTTTTTTTTAAGAGAGATTTTTGCTATAGGGCGTATGCACTCCCCAGAGAGATAGGAAGCAAGAAGTCATCCCCCCAAGATGGAGGTGAGGATTGGCTATGCAGCAATCTCTTCTCCTCCATTCTCCTCTTGAGATTTTGAGCACACACGCCTGGTGTGAGTTTCAAGCCACCAGGTCCAGGACTCAAACTGCGGTCGACTACTTGGGAATCCAGTGACATAACCATGACCCATCTGCTGGTCGTCCCTCCTCATGCTTGACCTCCGAACTTGTGGATCAGGGATCAGGACACGATGCGTGTGGATTCGATTCTGGCAATGTCTGCAGCCTGTCTTGAACTGGAGGTACAACAGACGGAGGCTGACTCTCCAAGAGCAGCTGCGGCCCTTCGAGTCCTCACCAGAGTGTATGGCCCATTGCCCTGTAACTCTGCACAGCTCCCTGGCCTGAGGCACATTCTGACACTTCGATGAAGTTATGATTGCTCACAGGACCTGGACTCCGGGCCAGGAAGGTCTCACTGGTGGGGACGGCAGTGCCTCCAGGCCTGACCCTCAGGGAATGCAATCAGAGTTCCAGGATGTTCAGACGAGGTGTCCACATGCTCCTGGAGAGTCTCCGGGGCCATGGAGTAGGAAGTTTAAGGGTAAAAAGTGTTTGGAATGTCCAAAGGTTTGACGAGTGCCACTGGTCCTGCCTTCCCCATCTGTGTTGACTCCGTGCCAGCCTCCCCTCATACTACTCTAATAACTAACCTTAGGAATAAAAAGCTTCCACACGGTGTCTGCCCTAAGCTGCCGTGTCATGGCATATCAACTCTGCCTGCAGCCCTGCCTCCTCGTGAAGATAAGCATCCCCAGATGGCCATGTCCCACCACAGCAGCCAGGAACAACTGGGCCACCCGAAGGCTCACCCCATATCTAGAACGACCAACCCATCTTCCACCATCTAAATTCCAAACAGCCCAACCTGTTGTGTTGAGAGCTATCAGTAAAACTGGAATCGTGAGAGGTATCTGGGGCCACCTGACCCAAGCTCTGAAGGCCCCAAACCTTACTACCATCTCAACTGTGGACCATCAAAAGAAGCCCCCTACACACCTATTAGAATGGCTAAAACTAGGGACCAGCAGTTGGCATAATGGCTACATTGCTGGACTCCCATGTAGTCAAATACGGTTCGAGTCCTAGACCCAGTGGCTTATACTCATGCCGGGTACATATGCGTGCGTGCCCAAGATCCCGAGAGGAGAATGGAGGAGAAGGGATTGCAGTGTGGCCATCCCCCCGGGGGGTGCTTTCTTGCTTTCTTTCTCTCTATCTCTCTCTGTCTTTCTGTCAAGCACACGTGCCCTGTAGCAAAAATCTCTCCAAAAAGAATGGCTAAAATTAAAATACTGATATTATCAAATGCTGGCAAGGATATGGAAAAACTGGACTCTCATACATGGCTAGTGGGAATGTGAAATGGGGTAACCACTCTAGAAAACACTTTGGCCATTTCTTAGAAAGTTAGACGTACACTTACCAGACAATCCAGCAATCCCATTCCTGGGTATTTACACAAGAGAAATGAGAACTTTTTCACACAATAACTTGTTCATGAATACTTATTGCAGCTTCACTTGTAATCCCTAAATGTTGGAAAACTAGTCAAATGTCTTTCAAGTGAATGGTTGATGACGGTGGTCATTAGCCATCAATGACATCCTCAACTCGGAATACTATTCAGCAATAAGACATCACACACGGTTTACATCCAAGTCAAATTGATCACAAAGACACACGGTTTACATCCAAGTCAAATTGATCACAAAGACACACGGTTTACATCCAAGTCAAATTGATCACAAAGACACAAGGAGGGGGAAGGAAAGCCAAACTCACGGTGTTTCCTATGGTGTGTTTCCATTTATAGACCATTCTCAGCGGGACGAAAGGACGGGGATGGAGCACAGGTCAGTAGCAGCCAGGGATTGGATTGGGAGACGTGTGTGACTCTAAAGGGGTGATGGAATGGTTCTGTTCTTGCTTATGATGACAGTGACTCCAATCTCTAAGTGTAAAGACATTTTGTAAACCATAGACACAGACGGCATGTAAAAACCGGTGAAGTTGGGCCGGTTCTGTGGCACAGCGGCATTGGGCTGCTCAAGAGAGGCCAGATCCCACATGGCAGCCATGATGTTTGCATCCCTGGCCTGGCCAGCCTAAGACACACCAGGTACACACACACCCAGGACCCAGTCTCTCTCACTGTCACTGAACATTGTGCACCTGCTCCATCATGAATAAAGTAAAAGTTTAAAAAAGACTGGTGAACTCAAGTAAGCGCTATCTTTGAGTCAGTAGTCTTGTGCCAAGGTCCATTTCTTGGTTTAGACAATGTGCAGTAGTTATGTAAGACACTACTGGGGCACACTGGGTAAAGGTACTAGTTTTGCAACCTTTCATGTGTCTTATGCTAGTCAAAGACCAGTTACTTAAAGCAATCTTAATAAAGTTTTTATAGGGACCAGCAGATGGCATAAGGGTTATGTCACTGGACTCCCATATGGCCGACCACTGTTTGAGTCCTGGATCCAGCAGCTTGAAACTCACGCCGGGCACATGTGCATGTGTGCCCGAAATCCCGAGAGGAGAATGGAGGAGAAGGGGTTGTGGTGTGGCCATCTGGGATCTCTGGGAGGTGATTTCTCACTTTCTGTCTGTCTCTCTGTCTTTCTCTAGCTCTCTGACAAGCACACGTGCCATCTAACAAAAATTTCTCAAAAAAAATAATTGTTTTTATAAATAAGCTTCAAAGGGGACGGCGGAGGCCCAGCCTCTGTGGTGCGGTTGGTAGCATGCATGGCTGAGATGGTGGGTAACTACAGTTCCGATCCCAAACCCATCCCACCTGCATCAGGCAGGTTGTGGGAGGCAGACCCACGAGACCCTGAGGAGCTGAAGGGGATTATGGCATGACCCGACCCCAAGGGGGTGCTTCTCTCTCTCTCGTGCATGTGCTTTCTATCACATATAACTATGTTTTAATTTTTTAAAGAATTATTTTATTTAACTATTTATTTTAACTTGATCAGAGAAGGACTGAGAGAGAGAAAGTGAGAAAGCAAGCTGCCAGGTCTGGGACTCGAACTGTGGTCGGCCATGTGCGAGTCTAGCATCCTTAACCACCATACTATCTCCTGGTCCAAATTTAAAAAAAAAAAAAAAATTAAGGGAAAGAAGATACTTCCCACCCCTGGGAAGACTGAAACACTTTGTTTTTATTTTTTTTAAGTAAAGAGAGAGGTATTTTTGACAGGGTCTCACTAAGCCAAGGCCCTCCCACCACAGCCTCCCAGTTAGCTGGGATTAGAGGCACACCACCATGCCCCATGTGATCAGGGTGGTCCGGGATCCAAACTCAGGCCTGCCCTATGGCCCCAGCACTAGGTAGTGGAGCCTTACAGCTGTGCCACCGCAGCCAGGCCTTCCCGACCTCTCTTTGTGAGCACCTCCTATTGCTTATTTTCCCACCTTCTAATTCGCGGTTAGGCCTCTGCAGCGTCTTGATGGCTTTGGCCTCGCCCTCTGCTTTTCAGAGACAGCCTGTCTCTGCTCGAATCAAAGCTCAAATATTCCAGCACCCATACCCTCCTGGGCCCTCCCTGAGACTAACTTCAAAGCCAGGTAAAGACTCTGAGATCTAAGAAATGGTCTCACGGTGAAAATCGAGGACAAATCATCCTTCTGGCCCCTGCACAGTCATTTCTTTTCTGGAATGGCTCTTTGTCTGCCCTGCCCTTCACACAGATTATTCTCTTCACTTCCCCCAAACGGCTGCTCCTTTAATGGACGGAGATTAACCCTTCCTCGCCCCCTCTCAGCCCAGGGCTTTGTTTCCACTCTCTCGCTCTCTGCTCTCTCCGGGCCTTGTGCCACAGCGGAACTATGCAGGGGGAAGGCTGCCCCCTCTTTGAAGCGTTCATGCCTCTGTAAAACCCCTCTTTGCCAGACTTGGCCCTGGAAAGACAGTTTTGAAATTACGTTTATCATGAGCTGACCGGGTTTGCAGCAGAGAATGGCACAAGGCCTTAGGCATTTAGGTCAAAGGGGGACTCGCTGTGCTCACTCCCTTCAGAGCTCTGTCTAAATGAATGACCAGCTTCATCTGCGCCCCCGCTCTGCAGAGGGGTCCCTCCAGCATCCCCAAAAACAGCGACTGAGCGATAGGGTGGAAGCCTGTGTGACATCCTGTCCGGATGTGACAGTACACTCACACGCACTCCACTGCCCCCCAGGATTGGTCTCGGCCCCCCAGTTTCCTGCCATGCCTTATTTATTTGGGGGGTTTCATTTCAAAAGACCATGTGAGAGGGTCGGAGGTGCACGTTTCTCAGGCCTGGTGGTGAGTCGATAGTCGGGACTGGGTGCTAAAATTGGAACCGTTGACTTCCCGTAGGCGTTGGTGAGTCTCCTAGTTTTGCACCTTTTGGTTTCAAAACCATACTGAACAACGGAAAATGAAACCAGCAACATATTTTTAGCCGTTCATGCTAACTCATGAGATTTTTCTTTGCAAAGCAAATAGGGCGAAGTCTACTTGAGCTGGTTAAACTTAGTCTGCTTGACTTAATGTAGCGATTAAGCCCAGCCTTCTGATGCTCATCAAATGACACTTGGTCCCAGGTGATAGTTTGGCCAACATTTACTATTTTGCTTAAATATATTTAGTTGAGGTTTTTTTTTTTTTTTTTAAGTTTTAAAGTAGGTATACTATACTAATTTTTTCTGATAAGAATTGAGAAATACGTCATATTGGCAACTGTTCATTAATTTTCTTTATAACTAGTGAAGTATCTATTAGGTTGTCAGAAAATTCATGTGGATTTTTCTGTGCAAAAATGTGTCATGACTTTTCTGACAACCTAATGTTTATGTGACCGGTTGGAACTTTAAAACTAAATAAATAAAAGCCAGTGCATTGAATGACAAAGAACAGAAGGCTAGAAAGGAAGGGATATTGATTCTATCTTGGTTGCAAAGGTCGTCACATATGACGCTCTCTTTGAACCTGATTTTCTTCTCCCTCAAAGAAAGGGTTTAGACAGCACCCTCCAGAGCACCTTCCCTAGCCCCTCGTCCTAAGAAACACGCCCTGTCGCTGAGGGTCTGGGGCAAGGTCGACACACTTTTTGTCAGGACACTCTTGTTTCTGCCTGTCCTCGCCTTGTTCCAGAGAGGCCAGGATTTCGCAAAGCACTATGGTTTGCGTGCCAGGCATCACGTGGCTCCCTGTGCTAAACAAGTGGTTGGGTACTCGAGAGACTCCCACGGGCTTTTTCTGTTTCCCGGGTTCACTCCTTAACTCATGAATCAAGTTTTCCAATCTGAGGGAGTGGCTTCACGACACACAACTGAAGTTTCCCCTGGTAGTGGTGGGAGAGAGGGAGGACCCCTAAGATGGGAGCCAGTGAGACGAGGGTACCTTCAGGAGCCCCTCCATGCCACCCAACAATGTTCTAGGTGCCACGAGAGACACTCAGATCTGCCGGGGAGAAAGCCAGAGCTGGGAGGAAAGGCAGGTAATTCAATTCAACCAAAATGCATTATGCTTTCATCTTTAGTCCAAAGGAAGTGAAGACTTACGGAGGTGTGTTAAGCTGCTCTGGCTGCAAAGGGATCATTGTCGTGCCCATTGTGACAAGCAAAGTCATTGATCTGAGAGAAGAGAGAACGGATAAGCTTGTTCTCAGTGAGCTCTTGTAATGTTTATTGCCCAGGATGAAGAGAGCTACAAGGAGAGGATTAGGCTCCCGTGTGAGGTAGATTAGCTTTCTTTTTTTTTAAATGTTTTTGTTTTTTAAATGTTTTAAAAAATATTTTGCCATGGGGCACATGCACTTGCCAGAGAGAGAGAGAAAGAGACAGTGAGAGGGAAAGTGAAAAATCACCCCCTGGGGGGATGGCCATGCTGCAATCCCTTCTCCTCCATTCTCCTCCTGGGATTTTGGGCACACATGCACATGCGCCCAGCATGACTTTCAAGCCATGGGGTTCTGGGACTCAAATCACAGTCAGCCGTGTGCAAGTTCAGCACCTTAGCCACTATGCTACCTAAAGGCAACGAGCCTTTAGGTACATAAGCTATTAAAATTATTATAGAGACCAGCAGGTGGCGTGGTGGTTTAGGACTCTGGACTCCCACATGGCCAACTGTGGTCTAGCTGCTTTCTTTCTCACTCTTCCTTTCTCTCTGTCTCTTCCTGGTCAAATTGAAGAAGAAGAATAATTAACAAAATTAAATAAATAATTCTTTCAAAATAAAACATGCCAATTGCATGCACACAGGCCCATGATCCTGATGAGCTAGAAGGACAGGGAAAGGGAATCGCTGTGTGATGAGACCCTGTCTGGGTGCTTTCTCTTTCTCTCTCTAGTGCACACGTACACATGCACATACATACACGTGTGCACATACACAGTAGCATAAATAAAATGAAGGGGAAAAATAAGCTGCGCATGCATGCACGAACGCACGCGTGTGCACACACACACACACACACACACACCTTACATGTCCCTCCTCCTCTCCTGGAGAAGTAAGCTGAGCCTGCCCCCAGGTTTGCTGCTCAGACTTGCCTTCTACCATGTCCTCCCTTCCCACGTCTTACACAGATGCTGGTGGATGGAAGTCAGGAAGCCCAGTCCAGACCCAGAGAAGGCTTCCTGGAGCTCTGAGTCCTCGGGCACATCCACTCACGCAACCCTCCATTCTACGCCTCGGGAGATACTCCTCTGTGTTCCAGGCGGGGTGGCGCTGGTCAATAGAAAGCCCCCTTCGAGAGCCATCTGGTTGGCATATAAAGTTACTGCCACCAAACAGAAAGTCAGCTGGCCACAGACCCAGGAGGCGGGAGACTTGGAGTCCAGCTCTTGGCCTACCCAGCCTGGAAAGCAAGCTGGTCTGGAT